GTGCGTGTTGGCAGGGACACGTCCCACAGCGTCTGCGCTTCACAAGGGCCGAGATCCACAGTCGGAGCCAAGCTGGAAAGCCCTCTGCTTGCTGCTTCTTCAGCCAGAGACAAACACACCAAAAAAAACCCCAACCACCGCAGTGCCGCAGGTGCTGGGCTCAGCGACACCAAACGCTCCCAGGGCAGGCCTGGCTTGGCCACCTTGGTCCTCTTGTGGTCAAGGCTGCAGCTTCGTGCGGTAGAACTTTGTGCCTTCTTCAGTTTCAAGGCATACTTATTGAAATAAAGGAAAACAAAATATGTCCAATCACTTTAACACGTACCCATCATTAAGGCATACGCTTTGCAAGGATTTTTCTTCAAAAAACCAAAATATATCTCTTTTTTTCGTCATTTCCAGCATTTGCTTCATGCTGTTTTATGACCTCTTCATCTTTGCAGCTGCAGCCAGTGCTCGGAGAACAAAGAACCCCCACCACTCTCAACCCAGCAGCCTGGTGGAAGTAGTGATATTGCTTGATTTCCATATGCCACATTTCAATAGCTAGTGATCCTTTAGGAAGTGCAAACAAACTTCAACAGAGCCACATTTCCTCGCCCAGACAGCTTGGCGACCGCCCGGTCTCAATACAAACATCAAATTAATCTTGGAAACGTTTGAAGAACCTGAGAACTGACTTAACGCTTGAAACCCGCAGGGGGCAAAGGCAGGACTGACACATGCTTCCTCCCTGCCTGCAGCAGCATCGCTGTGCCTGAGGACAGAGCTACTCCACGTTGAGCTTTGTTTTTATGTTCATGGCTGCCAGCTCTGCCACAAAGTAACGGAAGACATGGGGCACAGGGACAATCTCTATCGTGTCCACCTCACTGCAGACAGAGCAGGAGTACCTCCTGTTGCTTGTCACAGAGGAGGAGTGTGGTGGTTTCTCCAGCACAGGAGATGTCATGCTGCCGCAGCTCATGCAGACATAGGCTATGGAGCCATCAGAGCAGTTGAACAGGCGGTCTTGCAGCAAGAAAGAAGTGCCATGAGCCAGCAAAGCGTCACGCTCCATCTCGCCAAAGCGAATCCCACCTTCCACGTTCCTCCCCTTCACGGGCTGGTTGGTGACAGCATCTCGGGGCCCCGTTGTCCTCACCTGGAATTTGTCTGAGACCATGTGGCGCAGGCGCTGATAGTACACCACTCCCACAAAGATCTCCGCCTCCAGCTCCAGGCCACTGATGCCACTGTACATCTTTTCCGTCCCAAAGAAGTTATAACCTGCGCTCACTAAAGTCTCACCAAAGTATTTCAAAGCGGAGTTCTTCTCTGTGAAGGTGAAAGGAGTGGCGTCGTAGGAGACACCGTGCAGTGCTGCCGACTTCCCTGCCATGCTCTCGATTAACATCCCAATGGTCATACGGGAGGGAAAGCCGTGAGGGTTGAAGAGGATGTCTGGAACCATCCCGTTCTCTGTGAACGGCATATCCTCAACTGGCCAGAGCTGGCTCAGGATACCTTTCTGTCCATGACGGCTGGCAAATTTGTCTCCGACAGTTGGATTTCGGGGAACCCTCACAGTTATGCAAGCCTTCTTGAATTTCCCAGTGCCACGGTCATTACTGCATAACCTTACGTTGTCTACAACGCCGACTTCCTTATTCCTGTGTAGGTGGAAAAACAATCACAGCAAAGGTGTCAGGTGTGCTAATGATTTTTAGCTAGGAAAGGGAAACGAAGGAAAAAACCAAACCACTTCCTAAGTCTCATAAAATGCCTTGGGACAGCTGGGAAACAACACTGTTCTTGAAAAGTACTATTCAGTAGCAAGGGAAATCAGATTGCGTAAGAATCAGGGCAAGGAAGCAATACAACAGCATCACACAAGTGCCATTCATTTGCTTCTTCTAATACTAAAAGCACAGTTACAACTTTCAGGTGATCAGGTAATGTGCCACCCATGATTTAAAGTAAAGATAATTTAAATCTGGTTCATCTGTATTGCACTTTATCTGACAAACTGCATTCCAGTGCCATTTGTTTTGTGTTAAGGCAGCAGTCCCTCTCCCTACCCCCAATAAACTCACACCATCTTGGTGAAATAACAAAATAAAGAACCAGGTTCAGTGTAAAGCAGAGAGGAAAGTTCAGAGCAAAGGGAAGGCACAGTGTGAGCTGAGAGGGCTTTGGCAACAAGTGTCTCTTTCAGGGGTGTGCTGCTTCTCCAGATGAACCCTCAGCCTGATGTTCCATGTGTCTGCTGCAGGCTTAAACTGTTGTTACAGAGCTTTCAGCCCAAACCCTTCAGTTGTTTTGGAGATGACATCTAAGTAATAAATACATCTTGTCCCATGTTAAGACAAGGTTACTTTTCTTCTTCTTCTTTGAAGTCCTAATGAACAGTGTTTGTGGAAGGCCTATACTTAAGTTTAGCTTCTGTTTCAAAGCTATTATTTTGCTGTGTCCAAATGCAACCAGGGTACAGGCCATCACAAAAAAAAAACCCAAAACAACAACACACCACCACCAAAAACTGTGCTTCATAAGCCTCTTCCAAGCTTGTTCAAAACTTTTGAAGTCAAGCCTCTGTCCTCCCTCTCTTCTAAGCCATGCATAAGATCTAGCAGCACATGGAGCAGTTAGGACAGTAGGGAGAACTCCCCTCTTAAGGGCCCTGGGTCTCTGGGGCAAATTGGGGGCAGGAGCCAACACTGAGAGCTGGGAACCTCATCTCTCTGTAGGAACCTAAATAATTATCTGATTTGGACCAAGAATGAATAAAAGCTGAATGATACAGAGGTAAAATGGCTCTCTGGATAAGCAACCTGAACTAAGGCTGGGCTGGCGTGAGAGAGCTGGGGAGCAGGAGCGCGGGGTGGGAGAGCCAAAGAGGGCTCCACAAGTGCAAGGACAAGGCTGAGCTTACAGATCCCCACTACTACGTGCCAAATATCTTAGCCCTGCTCTACGACCAGGACGACTAATTCTACAAGTCCACAGCAGTCTCCTCAGTGCAGCTAAGACACCATCTGTTAGAGAGTAATAAACAATAGCTTTCCCAGTAATGCCAGTTACTGTGTTTCCTAAGTGCTTCTCAAACTAATTCACCTTCACAATGTGAAGAACTACACAGCATTATCCTCACTCTATCAATGCTGTAGAGAGACAAAGGTAAGGCCTGAAGTTGTATGGACAACTGGGAATGCAGGACACATTTAAATATATCAGGTTTTGTCAATGTTTTTGCTTCCCTTTCCTGAAAGAATTAAGAGGATTTTAATGAAAGCCTCAGCAGCCTTCTCTCTTTCAACTGAAGTTCAAAAACCTTACAAAACTTATCCCTGAAATGTTCCAGGGGGAGGGAGGGGCGTAGTTGACACATTTTAATATTCTAGCAGTTTGGAAGCTGCAATGTTAATAAAAATGCTCTTTGAACCCCTAATCCTATAACAACTTTGCTTACAAGTTTTCTGGCAAGTCTCTGGGACCAGGCACTTTCTTTTGGTTTTCTGTTTGGTGTTTCTTTGGGTTTTTTTTAGACAGTCAGCAAAAAGCTACAGAAAATTAACTGCAGGGGATGGGCAGAGGAACAGTCCTTGGGAGACAGCAGAAACATTTCTGCAAGCTCTTTCTTTTTATCGGCCTCGGATTCTCCTCCTGGGATAAGTCAGGCTCTGCAGCATACACTGGCTTAGAGGAAAGCCGTGATACAAGCATGGGAGTCACCTACAACATGAACTTCATGCTCTCTCTGTCAAGACATGGACACTATCATGTGAGGAGAAAAGGGAACATCTGGAGGAAAAGATACTGCAGCTCACCAGGGCCAACTGCTCTCAGACTGCTCAGCATCAGATATGTGGAGCCAGGAGGAACAAGCTGTACTTACGGATAGTACACAGTGAAGGTCTCCCCTGTGTTGAGGTTCATGAAGCTGTAGAAGGGGTCCCCAGGCTGCAGGATAGAGCCAACAAAAGGCAGTCCGTCAGCATCCAACTTCTCCGTAAGGTTCGGATCACCAGGCCTGATGCCAAATACTAAATTATCGCCTGCCCTGCTGGCTTTAAGGGAAAGGTCAATGCTCTCCATCTTGATAACGCTTCCATAGGCAAACCCTCTCTGCCAGGAAGATTTGTTCACAATCTAAAAAGAAGAAAAAAAGACCTGTTAAAGACTTGCTAATAACTTCAACAAAGAAAGCATTTCCATTCCGATCTGATGCTTACCTTTTTAACATTGCCTTCCTAAACAAAGCCTCCCAGGAAGTCACTGTTCCAAAAGGCCCAAACCTCCTGTAACCCCAGTATTTTTCAACACTGGAAGCCCACTGCCTTGCACAAGGGAGCTCCGCTCCACTCTCAGTACCTCCAGCATTACCTGTGGTAACAACGCATAACTGCTGTGCCCTTGTATCTGCCCTAACAGAGTCAATGGACTAGCAGAAGCAGAAAACGGGCTCTTCTCAGCTAGGTATCACCCTTCTTCCCAGTCCCCCACATCAAATTCCTTTAGAGGACAGCAGGATTTCTCCTTTTGGTGACTTACCATTGCATCTTCCATGTCATAGCCGCTGTAGGAGATGACAGCCACAATTGAATTGGTACCGACTGGATAGCTGTCCATACCGTAATAGTCATACATGCTGGGCCGCACCAGAGGACTCTGGGGAGTGTGAAGGTGGTACAGCTTGTTATCTGAGCGGTCCTTGTAGTTATAAACTGGAAACCCCATGGTTTGCTTTCCTATAAAGAAATAAATAAATTTGGATTTATTCAGGATCAATTCAAAGTTAATCTATGTTTCATCCTCCATGTATCTTGTTAAGAAAGCTAGAAATACTAAAAATTTAGAGGGATTATCAATCCTAAAATCCTTGGAATTTAATAAATGCCCTAAGTCCAGCTGTAAAAGTTTCTATGAACCACAACACTCAATTCCTTTAATAGCATTTCATAAAGACTATTTCTAATTTTGTGTCTTCTACAATTTCAAAATCTCCAGTAAGGTTGGTGTGGTGTTTTTTGGTTTTAGATGGTTGGTTTTTATTTTTTTAATTTACTTTTTGTTTGTTTGTTCCACCCCCCCCCCGAGTTTCCCATAGTGAGGCACACCTTATGTATTTCCAGGCCAAAAAGCGTTTGCTTCTGCAGTATAAATATATTGGCAAGGAAAACAAGTTTTGAACATAGTCACATTGGTACTTTCAGAAAAGTATGAAAAAGTGGGAGCGTTCTAAGGATATCTTTCTGATAATATTGTCAGAAGTGTAATATGCTAGCGATGCTATCAAGGTAATGAGACCTGCTTTCTTGAAGTCCTACCCACACACTTTCTCTTAGCCTGCCTTTTTTTTTTTTTTAATAAGCTTCTTGCACATCACTTGCACCTCAGCTGATTGAAACTCCACTACATACCCTATTCCAACTTCTTTCGGACAACCAAAATAATCAATTTAAATCTTTGTCAAATAGTTGTCAGAAAAAAAACCCACCCTGTTGCCACAGTGCTGTATTACTCTTGCAACAGATGCCTAGCAAGTGTCCTCTCAACAGCTGCAGTGTCAAGACTGCAGTTGCTTACTGAAAACAGGTGGCAAGAAAACCTCACACTAACTACTGCAGAGCATCTACTGTAGCTACCAGTCAGAAGTAGGTCAACCTCTGTCAGTTGTGGGGACAAGAGATTGTTGGCAGCGCAGCTGTCAGACACCAATACCTCCAAACAGCTGGTGCAGTGCTCTTCACTTGTCTATATGATCAACAACATCAAATTAAGAAAAAAAACAAACACAACTTGCTTAAGGAAGGCAACACGAGTGCAACAACCTAGAACTGCCCGCTGGAAGGCAGCCAGGATGATAAATTTGACTTCATTTACTTTGCCATGAAAAAAATGGCTGTTAATCAACCTCAATGTTGAAACAACGGCTGGGAAGAGCTGTTATTTGGGAATGCAGGAAGACACACTGGGATAGACACGAGAGACTTTTTTCCTTCCCCCTTGCCCAGGGACTTGTAGCATTAGGTACTACTACAGCACTTACCCATCTGGCACTGGTACATGTTTCGTGGACTTTGGTTGTGGTCGGAGAAGGGGATGAGGTTGGCCACCACGCTCAGAATGCTGTGAGGGAAGAGCTCCTGGTGAGTGGTGTTTCCGGGCACCACTTCCGACTCCAGCGAGGCCACGTTCATGAAGATCTGCAAGCATCAAATCGGACAATGCTCATTCGCATCCTTCTTTTAAAGGGAAGGAAGCAAAACAAAGCTGCATCAGATATCTTTTTATCCATTTCAGTTTTAGCTGTGGTCATTGTCTGCACCTTAGTGTATTAGCAGGCAAGAAAAATATCAGACAATTGTTAAACTACCTATCACAATCACAGACCAACTGCAAGGAAAGCAAGTCTGGAAATACAAAACTGCAGTAACATGTCCTCCTTCCTGTCTCCCATTTTCATTGTTCCAAATGGGCAAGCTCCCTGGCAACCCACTGCTTGGCTACCCATGGGCAATTTGGAAAACATATTGTAGCACAAGATGAGACAGGACACACAAGACAGCAATCCTCTGCCTCAAAAGCTTCACTAAATTAATAGTGAGAACAGATTTCAGTATCTCAAAAGGATCCCTACAGTCCATCTAAGACATTTACTGGAAACCAATTAGCAGGAGGTGAGAAAACCCTTTTGCCACCTATTCTAGCTCTTCAACACAAGCTCCCTATGTCCCATCCTCAGCTCCTTTCACAAATATTTTCCAAAACATTGTTTTTGATACCGGGTACCTCTGTAATAATCAGAGCTTTATAAAGGAAATATGCAAACCCCACCTGTTCCAGAGTACCAATCCATTCATTCCTTCCATAGAACAGGTTTCTGACAGGCCGCACCATCCGGCAAGGGGTAGTAAAAATGAACAACCCAGGATACAGACTGGGTTTTCCTGTCATTGGGATAAGGACCACTTCTGCCCGTGCAGGAAATTTCTTCTCTTGTGTCATCTGTTTGTGCAAAGAAATACCAATTTAGAAACACAAACCAACACTGGTTTAGTTAAGCTGCATCCAACAGACTACACAATGAAAATGCCAACCACAGGTGTAGCTGCTAATATAAAATGGTGGAGAAAAGATTTTAAAAATACTTCTAGAAAAATCTTCACCAAGAAAAGGGCAGAATATGTCTATCTTACCTTTTTCAAGGAAAAAGTTCTTCTAAAAATGATGGCTTCATAAACCAACAGACCAAACATACAGATATAAACATGAAAAAAGAGAAAAGCCCACTCCAATACTAACATACAGCCAAAGATAACTTATTGGGTCAGATTAAAAAAAAAAGAAAAGGAATTAAAAAAAAAGTTCCCAACATGCCTATTTTTGTCCACTGCATATTGAGGATGTTTAGCTAAGAAACATTTTAAACAAGACAACCTTGAAACGGCGGAGGGTTTCTGCAATCTCAGGAGCCAGCTCCCACTCTACCCAGCCCACCACAGAGCCGTCCAACACAACTCTGTAACACTCTGCATAAGGCTTGCTTGGAGTCGCATCAATGGGGGTGACACCTGTGAGAAGAGGGGGTTGGTAGAAAAAACAGCCAAAAAAGCAAACAAAACACAGAAGTTATTTCTGCAGGAAGCCTCAATCCACACAAAAAAGCCTTCTGAGACATCAAAAAATTCAGACCTACAGGGCAAAACTGTAGATTACTTAATGGAAAAATATAAAACATGCACAACTAAGAATACCATTCCCCTCCTCATGTTTCTGATTGAAATAAGGATTCCCATTGTGGCAATCACAAGTGATCTGCAGTTTAATTCAACTCACCGGCAGCATTAGACACGCACTGCTTGGTTCAATTTAGAGCAATTCCTGTGCAATTCCTTACATCTTCACTCTACAGCACACAGCTAAGAGACATTTACATTGAACTTTACACACTCCAAAAGGTTGACACGCCTGTATAAGCAATGTGCTACTTACCACTAAGCAGAAGCACAGTAAGTACAGGTTTAACTTGATTTCACCTTCTCAAATTAACAGTGTACAGTGATGGTATCTGGAGAACCTTTCCAGGGTTTGCAGGGCACAAAGGTAAAAAGAAAGACTGCTTCATTAAATGATCAAGCCAGTAAAACATACCTAGGGAACATAACAAAGCTGGAATGTCTGTCACGGGCACCATCTCCGTCACTATTTCACACACAGCTGTCATGTGGTTCATCAGACCACAGGGTTCTCCATCTGGGGTGTCCACAGGGCACAGGAACCCCCAGGATTCGGGCAGCAGCTTGCGGACAGTTGTAGTTCTCATCTGGGAAAATGCTGCCCCTCTGTGTATGCAGCGGAAGTGAGAAAGGTAGCGAATGAAATTCAGCTTGTCTCCCACCACACACAGACCGCTGTCCTGTAACATGCCCAGGCCTTGGGAACAAAATTGAGATTTATGTCAGGACATCATCCAGCTTTAACAGATAAAGTACGATGTTACAAGGCAATTTCTTATTCTTCACTGACAAGCCCTGAAGATGCTCACACAGGATCCCAACAACAGAAGGCACATGCGCTGTTGTCTGTGCACAAGCAACTCAGTGACCTGTAAGAGGCCTAGAGACTTTAAATTTCAAGCTATTGCTTGAAATCCAACTCCTTTTAGAAACACATGAAAATCATTCCCAGTGAAGCGACGTGGGGATTTGCGGCTGGTACTGTTTACTGAAATTCTATGGTCTTCTAATCTCGTTTCATTTTCTAGTGGGCATTCCATTACAACATTATCACACCAGACACTTCAGGGAAGTACCAGGTAAATTTGAAATATACATTAGCAAAGCAGTTTCTCTCCATTTAAGATCACACGACCAATGGGGCAGTCCTGATACACAAATGCCCCTTCTCTGTCTTACGCTGCACCTTCTAAGAAGAAATAATCTTTGGGAAAACAAATCAAAATATGGTTGCTGTTTTGGACAATGCTAAATTTAGTTTCAGCTATTTATCTGGGTAGAGGCTTTGCTTTAATAACTAACCTGTTTTATATCATGCATAAAGTCTATGCTTGAGGAGAAATCTTGCCTTTTTCCTCAACTATCCCTTTCCTCAAACCACTTTCATTAATTCAGTTACAGTGTACAATGTCTGCATATAAGCAGTTGTTTTCAGAGCTCAGTTTTATGTTGTTTCTCATTCTGTTTAGCAGGGAAAAAAGGGTTTCTTAAGCCTGAAGATTTACCGGTTTTAGATCGCAGGTTACCAGTTGCAAGAAGATATTCAAATGGCTTGGTAAAGTCTGTTGCCAGGCTGAATGCCTTCACCAAGCTGTCTGCATTTATGCTGATATCTGCCTTTTCTGTTCTTTTCTCCAAAACAAACTTAACAGATTGCAACCAGCTTTCAAGCCTCTCCTACGGTTTAAAAGTGAGAGATTTAAATGTAAAACAGGAAAATAAAGGCTAAATTAGAATTTCACATCAGTTGTATATGCTTCAGAAATCCTCTGAAATCAGCAGGATGGACAACTTTTAGTGAACTGACAGTTTTCCAGCGATATTTCCCACACTGACTTCATTTTATCAAAATGCTGATGGTATCACACCAACACAGACCTGCAAGGAAAATACCCATCCAACAGCTTAGTAATCACTTCCACCCAGATGGGTGATGAGTCTGGCAAATGAAGTACAATAACAGAATTTCATAAAGAACAAACAAAACCCAAAGAAGAAATTGTACCTATAATCTGACCACAAGAATAACTCCACTGGTTAGCCTGCTAAATACAGTCACAAAGTAAAACCATGTTACGAAGTAAGTTTAGATACCAAAACTTGAAGGTCATGGACACACGGTATTTAAATGTTGCTGAGACAATCCGAGATAGTGGACTCGATTTTCATTTTAACTGTAATTTTAATCAACGATGTGATCTTAGATACTACATAAAAACAGGGACTTTCCTCCCAGCATCCTAAAACGAGGAATCCCTAGAAATAAACTGAACTCATATTGAATTGGAATAGATTAGGAAACTGCATTTTTACATCACCAGTAGTGAATTAACTGCACAAGTCAGAAGCATGCTATCAACTTCCTGATCTGTAAAGGAATTTAAAGATGGGAGAGTGACGACAACATCATGAATCACCACTTTTGGAAGATGTAGGGGCAGTTATTTTCTTGCATATTTGCCACGTGAAATAGCAGCAACACCACGAGGCAGATCTTCACCACTCCCATATCAATTGATACAACAGAAGTATGCTGCTTCAAAACCCTCTTCAAACACTGGAAGGATCGGTATTCCTCCTTCCTCAGACTCCCACCCTAAACAGGGCGCTTTCATTTGCTCTGGAAAGCTATGAAGCTCTTTATTCCAGGTTTTGTACAGGCCTTTCTTCAGCATATTTAGTAGCCCATACTGAGACAGCCAAACCTTCCTCAACTACACTGCCTGGTTACACTACATCCAGTACTCTCTCAGCCTTCATAGCATATCGAGGCTCCCTGCTCTTCAGTCTGGCTCCTGCAATTCTCCTGTCCCCATGGTGACCATGGGGTCTGGACTGGACAACCATTACATTCACAGGCCTAAACCCCTTAAGACCTTACCTTTAAGAACATAAGGAAAAGCTGTCCTGGGGTAAGCACTTCTTGATTCATCAGACTGTCTGGATTATCCTCCATGCACTCCCCCTTGGCAAAAGCATACAGCTTCCGGGTCATCATACAGAGCAGGTAGAATTTTTCAGTTCTGTTTGTCAGGTGTATGCAGATACACTTGCTGGAGGAAGAGAAAGAAGGAGGACAACTAACACTGTCTCTTCATGCTAGCTGTTCTTCAAGTTTTTCCTAAATAATCACAAACCAAATTTTTTGGCTAAAAAGCCTAACAAGGCACAAGCTTTTCCAGTTGCCCGTAGTATTATATGAAAATTCTAAGAAATAATAATAAAAAAATCCCAGAGACTGATTATGAACTTGTCTTTTTAAGGGCCTGGTTTTGTTAAGGATATACTTGATTGATTAAACGAAGGTGAACCTTGTGAAAGACTGATTTGTACAAACTCCCATGTTAGATGTCCTTATAAGTATACAGTTCATGTAAACAGATATTTGAGTCAGGACCAGTCAACAGATGAGGTTTGTGTGTTATTTTACAGTAGCTATGTCACCAAACACATACATGCACCCCACCCCAAATCTGAGCTGGAAACTAGTAGCAAACCATGAAACATTTCTGTTAACACTGTCTGTTAACATTTCTGTTAACAGTATCCTGCCACAGAAAGTCCAAATCTCCACTGCTATCAACCCACGTGTGGAAAATCGTGGGCTGAACAACACAAGCAAAAAGGAAAGCCACACCTAATTCCCACTAAAGCTGATCAACTGCTTTCTAAGACACTTGAGATCACTTGCTCTCCAAGATTCAAGTGGAATAGTCTTCCATCAGCACTCAGGGATTTTTTTCAGCTTTTCACTTCTGCTCTACATTGCCCTCTACTGAAGCCTTCACAACTTCACTGCAAAGCAAGACAAAACTCCGAAGGCAGGTTCTGTACAGGTAAGCTTACATTTCCAGCACTCTTACATACAGGGTACATCCCAACTAACGTTTTCACTATTCCTCCTCTTCTATCTCCTCAGCTGAGGCAAATAAGGTGTACAGAACATATCAGAGGAGAAAAACAAAAACAAACCACCCACCAGAATATTTAGAAATAAGAAAATCAGAGTAATTCCAACTTTCTTGAAATGATCCACTCACATTTCTTAGTACAAAGTTCTGAGCTTCCAGCTGGTCTATGGACTTTTAAGTGCCCCTCTGAGGCACCTGCAGGCTGCCTTTGTTTTTCCAGCCACCTGACCACCCCCTATTTACAAGTACTCAAGGACTTGGGCATCCCAAATGATCTTGCCATGTGCCAAAAAAACCTCTCAGAGAGCAAACACCTACTTTACCAGAAAAAGAAATTATTTAGTTGAATGCCTGTCACACTCACAGTCTCAAAGCCAGTTCTTCCATTCCTTTCTAACTTATTCCATGGAAGAAGCAAGATTTTAAAGCATCTAATTTCTAAAAGATAAATGTTTTAAAAGATAAATGTAATTCTCATCATAGCTGCCAATGACTGTGCGAAACTGAAAGTGCCACAAATCACAGTATTTCTGTTCAACAAATAGAGCCTCGAGCAGTCACAGACCTAGCTTTAACCTTCTCTTCCTTAATCTTGAATATTTATGTTTTTCATCAAATACATCAGAAAATCACATTTAAATAACAACTGATACCCTCTCCTGAAACCATTTTGGGGATATTTGTGTCAATCCATTAAAATACATATTTCTGAACACCACAAATACAGATTATCATAATATCCTGGAGTCCCATCAAAAACTGGCCACTGGCTATCATTTTATAAATGCATGTGAAAACCATAACAAAGTGTGATGTAATACGGCAAAGTACTCTTAAATCTGCCTATAATTTCAATACAATTACACTGAACCACACACTCCTACATGCATACATACATACATACATACTTCAAAATGAAATCTGCAGCCTGTTCATTGCTGTACCACTCAGGAAGGTTAAGTTTTATTCTGAAGCTTTTTCCCAGGTATTCGAGGACATTGTGCTGTGTCAAACAGCCTGCGTCCACTACCGCTCTCATCATCTCAGTAACGCAGTTCACATAAAAGGTGTCACCTTCCTTGTCTTTGATCAACTCTTCAAAAATCTGGTAGTCTGGGAAATTAACTAATGCCTGAAAGACAGAAGTGTATCAGATCAGAAAAACAAAGTCATAGCAATATCTGTTCACAAAATACAGTAAAAGAACTAGGGCACGCTGCTGATTTAGGTTTTCAGTCCTCTGGAAATACCCTTCCACCATGCAAACTGAAAAACACTGTGGGGTTGAGGTGCTCAGAGAGTAATGCAGGGGATATTCATACCCTGATGATGATCACAAGTACTCGCAATCCAATGAGACCCTTGGAAAAAAACAAACTTGCACCCTCTAAATTAACACGCTTCTCTTATTTAAGTAAGATTTACTAATATCCTTACAGAATGAGCTCACTTAGAAACATGAATTTAATTCACAATTGTCTCAAGCTGCTACTTATTCTCATGCAAACCAAAAGGCAATTTAGCCTTTTGATGAAGGCTATTAGAACAAATTCACTTTAGTTTCAGCACTTCATATACCAAAGCTTATACTTAAAATCCAACATTCTTAGCGCTTGGTGTTATAATGGTTTCCTAGTTGTTTCTTTATGTCAGGATTAAGCAAATATGTTGTCCACCAATGACTTCTGTATTTACTGACAAATGTGCCTCATCTTTAAGTAAACTATTTGTTCATCACATTTAAGTAGGCTTCAAAAAGTTCAGGGAAAATTGAAGGCTGCATTAAAAAGACACTAAGGCAGATTTCTTTATGAAAGGGGGCAACGTAAACTCAGTTCTACTGCTTGGTAATCATGATATATACAATTTGGAAGCAGCCAGAGCACATTCTGCCTCTTGTCCAAGAGAGGAGAGCAGTGGGATGATTACACAGCAAGAAGAAACCAGAATTACAGCCAGAACAGAAGCGCAATGGGGCCACAGTAGCAGCAGTCTGCTGCAGTGGGACCTGGACGGGCCACAGAAAACCAGTACAGAACTGAGCTTGATTGATGCACGGGGGGGATGCAAACCCATAGAGAGTGACTGCTTATAGAAGAATTCAAACTTCAGACAACATGGCCTGTTATCCTGAGATCTCATGGGCTACCAGAAAGTACAATTCCTTTGCATATTAGAACAACAGGTAATCAGCTACTTTTGGTAACTACTTTTGTTGAAACAAAAGTTTGAAGCAAAGCATTGAAGAAAAAGTGAAATGCATTGTGCAACAGCAATGTGATACAGCAGGTTGAAAGAAGATACAAATGCACTGAGGCTGATTTACATGATGCTTCCATCATGTAGTGCCACAGGCCTCTGATTTGCTCTAACACTTAGCTGCTGTAGGTAAAATACATGGCTGAAGTACTCTGGCTCGGCTACTAGAGAAAGCATGCTTTTAGAGGAGAATTTAAAGAGTCTTGGCTCAAATAAAACTTTTGCCTGCTAACCAAAGAAGAGTTTACACCCATCAAACGCACTCAAATAGATCCTTCCAGATCTTCATTGCTTCCAGTTCCAATCAGAAACAGCATTTTATTTTTCTCCTTAAAAAAAAAAAGCCAGTTCACTGGTTTACTTTTAGATGGGACAACCTGACTTTAATGATTAATGTTGTTCACTCACTGAACACTCAGCTGTCATTCTGTTTTAAAAAGATTCCCGAGATCTTTTACATTAGGTGTCAAACTCTTACACCCTCCAAGAGCTATTAATCCAGAGCATTCATTAGCAAAAAGCCATGAAACCCTTGTGTAACTCTCCCCTCCTCTCTTGACCCTGCACACGCTTCCTCTGCTGCAGCCGAGTGTTACATTACAGGCATAGGCTCGATTTGGACTATAGTTCTTCAGCCAGTATAGGAAGGATGACTGAAAACACTTAATATGGAATTAGCTTCTCATCACTTAAATAAAATGCTTAGCAAAACTTCTGCATTTATTATTAAAGCACGAGCATTAGTTGTTTACCTTCAGAGCAAATCCCAAAGGAAGGAAGAACAACTCTTTCTGAAAAATGAAATTCACCATGACACAACCATTTTCCAAGTAGTGGAGGTTCATATTTATTGCAGTGTGCTCATCCTTCACACAGTGCATCACTACTCCTGCAAAAATTAACACAAGCAAAGACCAACGTGAGCTGTACAAAACCAACTGGCTGCATTGCTGTGATGTGTCTGAGCAGGTGTGAGACAATTCATGAGAGAAAGTTCGGTACTTCGTGGCTGAGAACACAAGGCAGATCACTAGTTTCAGCATCGGTCTCCCATTTCAGATAAATACACCAGCTCAATTCAGTTCTTAGTGGACAAATGTCTCAGGACAGCCAGCACACTTGCTGAGAGGCTTGGAAGATGCATACAGTTTTTAAGAAAAGGAAAGCCCCAAGCCTCAACTATTCTGTCTGTAATCTTAGATTGTAAGATACAGGAACACACAAGTACTCTTCCTAATTGCACTCTGGGTCAAGTTTTCACATCTCTGTGTTTGGGTGGTACCGCTGAAGCAGTGTTTCCTGGTCCTGTCCCATGCTATCCACTGCAGGATAAAGAAAAACAAAGCAAACGGGACCATTTAAACTGGCACTGCCTCAAAATTAATTAACATGGAATTACAGTGTGAGCTCAAGCACCACGGTCCAGTCAAATCAGCAGCTGGTAACACCTGAGTTTAAAACTATAACTTTTCCGGTTTAATTAAATTTTAAACATGCTTTACTGAGTATACGTGACAAAGGCATGGGACAGCCAAGAATCTAGTTAATCTGCTTCATGTAAATTAAATCTGCCATCTCGAACTATGGATAAACATATTCAATGAAACAAGTTCAGCAGTTTACACTGACTTCTACTGAAGGTAGGGTTTTAGTTACACTTTCCACATAACAAAAGGTTACATCTGCTGCAAGGCCTGGGATACAATCTCCTTGCTCAGTATGAGCGGCTCAGACAGTTCCCACAAGGCCAGCACCTGCCTCATGTTTGTGCCTTATGGTGGTGTTGACCCTTTATTTTTTTATGTAGTAAAAAATATAAATATTATAGAAAAGCTACACCAAAACAAACTACCAAAAGTCAGCTATGGAAGGTCATTCCTGTTTGTCCTCAAGTAGTTACTAGCAGGATGCTGCAGGAATCTGCTCAGCTTACCGTACTCTGTGAAACCAGGGCCTCTGTTTTTCCATTTGTGTCTCGTCATTGCAAGAGGGAAATTTCGCCTGGGCATAATCAGCATCCTAATAACTTTTTCTAAGCCATTAATTATAAAGTATCCTCCCATTTCCTGGCAGAAGAAGAAAAATCATTTTAATGTGCTTAGAAATTCATAACCCAGCATTTTAAGAAAAAGACAAAAATACTTGTATTATATGTTAACAAACATTTAATGTTTTAACTATGAAACACACAGCAAGACATACGTTTCAGCACTGCATTTGGAAAGGCTGCACTCCTTGCCAGTGACTATTAAGTCTAAATGTAGCATACAGTGCAAGGAAAGGGATGCATGTTCCACAATTTAAAGGAAGAAAGAAAAGACCCAAAAAACCTGTGTGGTCAGCTGAACGGCTTTGAAGAGCTGACGTTAACTATTTTTTTAATAAATACTCTGAAGTTCTCATTTTGAGTTTATAAACCAAAGGGATCTTTAGTGTAGAAAACCTCTTTCTGGTCACATACAAGCTTAACACTGATAAATTTATAGCTCCCCAAACGGTATGCCATTAGACAAAAAGTGTTTCAGTAGCGAGTAATACTATGAATGAAGGTACAAGCAGCATACTAGGGGGGCAGCAACAGTACACCATTGTATATTTTCTTTCATAGTTTGCTCGCTCTTTTTGCGAGTGCAAAATACAGCACTATATAATTCTGTATTCAATTCCCCACAGCTGACATGCTACTGGGGTGACAAGGAAAAAACTGCAGAGGACAACTGAGAATGAAAATGCCTCTTTCAATGCCTGTTCTCCAAATCTTTGTCTCCACAGAGGCCCACTCACAGCTACATAGCCGCAGCTGCCGGTTAGCAGTTGAGAAGTCATATACTGGAACTGTAGGTATCAGCACCAAACAGATCCCTGTATTCAAAGACAGTGGGACTGCAAATTTTTCAAGATGCTGTATGGAGCCACCATACATAGGGTACATTCAGAAAAAATAACAAGTCAAACTTGAAATAAAATATAAATGCTCAAGTTCTGTAAAGAGAAGCTGGCCTGAGATACTGCTCACATAAAACGCAGATTTTCCTGAACCACAAAATCCCCGTTACCTCTTCCTCCTCATGGTGCTGTATGAGCTCTTGTGGAGAAAGATTATAGAGGTTGCACAGCTTGGACTTCACCATGATCGGAATATACCCCAGGGGCTGTTTAATAGTCCCTTGTGGCATGCCATTCACTGACCAGCTGATGTCAGCCTAAAATGACACAACGCAAACAGTGAGCAAATTAAGTTGCCCTTTTAATCTTTCCTGCTATATTAACTGTACATTTAATATAACCACAACCTGTTTAACAAAATTCTATCACTGTAAAATGGTAATAATGATAATAAAAAGCAGAACTAGTAGATACATGCATAAAGATTACTCCATGGAAAACAGTCAACATGGGTTTACAGAAAAAAATTGTAAAAGTCTAGAATTAGGTAAAGAAGCTGCTAGTAAACAAAGTTGATACAGTCTACTTTGCCTTTCAGACCCTTCAACGGAGCAGCCTAAATAAAAAAGGCAACCACAGGATATGAAAGGAAACCTCAGAAGTTAACAAACAGTTAAAAGAAAAAGTAGAAGAAAACAGAAACTGCTCAATGAAAGGACATCCACACTACAAGCCTGCAGAGACCCTTCCTAAGACTTGTTCACTTAACATGTTCATGAGTGATCTGAAAAGCGAGAAAGAGAAGTGTGTGTGAAAGAAAATAATTTATTTACAATAACAAGGTCTGGCAATGGGTCTGCAGAAGGACCCCTGGACTGTAAGAAACAAGGTGATAAAATACACTGTGGGAGCACGCAATCCTAACTTTATATGCAGAACAACAGGCTTTAAGAGCTGCTGCCATGCAGGAAAGAAACACCAGCACTGCAATACAAAAACATTGGTTCAACACCTGGCAACAGTTAAAAGAGTAAATCAAGTCTTAGGAATTACTAGGAAAGGGAAGGGAAATGTTATTGTGCCCCTCTAAATCCACAGTGCAGCCTTACACTGAGACCTCTGCACAGTTCCTGTCTCCAGCTTAAGCGATGACTAAAGGTACGAAGTAGCTCCTGTATGAGCAGCCGCTCAGTGGGCCGGGGCTCACTTCTCACCTTGGGGAAGTGAGAACTGCGGGAAGAATCTGAGGGAGGGGTATGTGGTTAAAGGCAGCAGGCTGGAAACAGGGAATGATTACACACTGCTTCCTGCTGTGCAAGGGCAGGGAGTGGGAGAGACCAACCAACCTGTTCAAGCACAAGGCAATACCTTCTTACACAAGCCACGGCAAAATGTTTTGTTCCAACTGTTCCAAACATTTACACGGGTTCAAAAGATAATTAAACAAACAAACATTGGAAAAAAGATAGGAAATAATTCACGTATGAAAAAGAAAAGCATCTCTAGCTCATGAAAATCTAAGAGCCACTGGGAAAACAGCTGTGAGCTATCTGCAACTTTCATGTTCAGATAAGATACTGCACTTACAGCCACTTTTATCACTGTTAGTTGTAATGCTTTGCACAAACTCAAAAAAAAAAAAAAAAGCCGAAATTGCAAGCAAGCATTCCCTTGCACCGGGTGTCTCATGCAAACGTACAGTTCTAACACAATTACACAATTTTACTAGAAAACAGCAGTGGCTGTGCAATCCTTTCACAGTGCAAAGGAAAATATTTGCTGAGGATGCTTCTTCTTCTCTAGGCACATTTCAGAGCAATTCAGAAAAATGATGAACATATGATATGAACAAGAGGGATTTATAACTCTGGACTTCTATATGAGAGCAACACCACTTTTGAAACCTATATTCCTGCAGAAATAAGATTTGGACTGTCATACTCTCCAGGATGACACAAGTCTCCTTCCAAGGTCTTTTGAACTGGCTGGCTGATTGCAAGGCAAATTTGGCAGCAGAGTAAAGAACACAGCGGGGGTCCCGTGGAAAAGAAAGACAGCGGAGATGGGGCCTGCTCCGAGCTCGGTTTGAAGGGAAGTTTGTGCAGTGAGCTTGTACTTCACCAACACCTGAGACTCCACGCGGGACAGAGCGCTTAGAAATCCCCCCGAGGCAGGTGAAACCGGGAAGGGGTCTTTAACTAAAAGCACACAGAAACGCGTGTAGGGCTCAGCTGGCTTTGCTCCCCACGGGAGCGGCGGCGTGGGGCTACCCCGCGT